AAAAGTATGGTTGTCCTAAGCAACAGTAGAATTTTGGAAAAAGGACAAGTGGACCTACGCGTAGGAAATGGAGCAAGAGTTGCTGCATTAGCCGTGGGGACATTTCATTTGTCTTTACCTTCATGCCTGGTTTTAGAACTTAAGAATTGCTACTATGTGCCTGCTATAAGTAGGAACATTATTTCCATTCCTTGTTTGGATTTGGAAGGATTTCATTTTTCGATTAAAAACAAGTGTTGTTCTTTTGATCGTAATGATGTCTTTTATGGTAGCGGTCCATTAGAGAAAAGATTTTACATTCTAGACCAAAGCATGCTTGTCTATAATATCAGTAACAAAAGATTTAAGTCTAACGACACGAATAAGACTTTTCTTTGGCATTGTCGTTTGAGCCATATAAATGAGAAACACATTCAAAAGCTTCATAGTGATGGACTTTTGAGCTCATTTGACTATGAATCATATGAAAAATGTGAATCTTGTTTGTTGGTTAAAGTGACTAAGGCTCCTTTTACTGGACACGGTGAAAGAGCTAAAGACTTGTTGGAACTTATAGATACTGATGTATGTGGACCAATGAGTATAAATGCCAGAGGAAACTATCAGTACTTCAACAGATTCACTGACGACTTCAGTAGTTTATCTAATGAAACATAAATCTGAACCTTTTGAAAAGTTCAAAGAATTTCAGAATGAAGAACAAAACCAGCTTGACAAGAAAATAAAAGCTCTTTGATCTGATCGGGTTAGAGAATATTTGAGTCAAACATTTAATGATCATCTGAGAGAATGTGGAATTGTTTCACAACTCACTCTTCCAGGAACACCACGATGGAATGGTATGTATGAAAGAAGAAATCAAACTTTTTTAGATATGGTTCAATCTATGATGGGTCATGAAGATCTTCCACCATCCTTTTGGGGATACGCTCTCGAAACGTCTGCGTTTACGCTAAACAGATGTCCATCAAAATCAGTTGAGAAGACGCCATATGAGATGTGGACTGAAAATGTTCCAAATTTGTCTTTTATGAAAATTTGGGGTTCTGATGCTTATGTAAAATGTCTGTATACCGATAAGCTTGGACCCAAATCTGATAAATGCTACTTCGTTGGTTATCCTAAAGAGACCAACGTTATTACTTTTACAACCCCACTGATAAAAAAGTGTTTGTTGCTCGTAGTGGTGTTTTTCTTGAGAGAGAATTTCTTTCTAAGAATAACAGTGGGAGTAAGGTACAACTCAAAAAGTTTGAGAAACACATGAGAATGATTCATCATCTTAGGAAGATGATCAATTAGATTTACGAAGAGTCGTAGAATCTACACTTGTTGTACCTGAAGTATGTAGGTCCGAAAGGACACTGTCACGACCCTAATATATATGTGGTTTGGGTGCCAAATCACCATGATCTATTGATAATAGAAAGTGATGAACCTATGTCTTTTGAGGAAGCTATGATGGGCCCTGAATCCAATATATTGCTTGAAGGAAGCATTTCGGAGTTGGAATCTTTGTTTGAATGAGTCAATAAAAGAGTTTGATTCCATTAAAAATGAAGAAGAACCTTGCGTTTAAAAGAAGACTAGTGGGAGCGCAGTAGTTTTTTTCTTGGTGTTGTATGTAGATGAGATATTTTTTATTGAGGTTGTTTCTCAATGAAATACATGGACAAAACTGCATATATCCTTGGAATAAGAATCTAATAGATTATAATCCAATACTTATATTGATAACGCCTTACATAGATTAAAGATGCATGATTCCAAGAAAGGCTTTTTGTCAATGTATCTTGGCATAAATCTTTGCTAGACTCAGTTTCCTATGACACACGATGAGCGAGAGAGAATGAGTAGAATCCCATATGCTTATATAGGATCTATCATGTATGTCGTGCTGTACTCGTCTAGATGTTGCATGTGCTTTGAGCATGACGAGTACGTCGATACCAATCTGATCCAGGTGAAGGTCACTAGACAACAGTCAAGAATATCCTCAAGTATTTGAGAAATAATAAGGATAAGTTTTTTTTCTATGGAAGAATTGATGAGCATGTTGTAAGTTGTTACAACGATGCCAGTTTTTTTTATACTGGCAAAGATGAATTCCGATCACAAGTTGGTTCATCTTTTGTATTAATGGAGAGTGGTAGGTTGGAAGAGTTCCAAGAAATGTACCATAGCATAGTCTGAATGGATGCAAATTCTGGTGATCCATTGACTAAGCCTCTTCCATGGCCTGAGTATGAGAATCATACTGCAGCCATGGGTATTAAGTATATTAAGATGTGATCTTATTTTAGTGGGAGGCTTTATGTTTATGGTATGATGTTCATATTGACATACATTTGATTATGTATTCAAACTAATGAAATTGTTTCATATTTATTTGATTATTGGATAATTAAATAAAAGTCCCAAAAATAATTTATATCATTCTTATAGGTCATCAACTATGTGACTTGATCATGAAACTCTATAAGTGAAAGATGCTATAAATTATGGAGGTCCCTAGTCAAGGTTGTTAACATGGGACATTAATAACCATGAATGGCTAGTATGTGAGGTGATTGATGGCTAAGTTTCATGGAGTCATTCAATATGTAGTATTGAAGTCAATCACATAGATATGTGTTAGAGAACACATGATCGGACTGATCCGCTAATGGGAACTCTACAAGCTTGTTATATGAGTGTCATGAGAGGTTCTCATTACGACTATAGAGTATAGTCCTTAGACCTGAGTTCATCATGATTCTTTACTTGTGAATTAGTTCATTTTGACCTTGTCAAACGTCAGCCGTAACTGGTGATTATAAAAACAATGATTAGGTGTTCTATGAAGTTTGTAAGGAACATGGATGGAACAAGATGTGATTTTTCCCTCCCATATAACGGGAGATAAATATCTTTGGGCCTATCGAAGATTTGATACTGAGAAATGCATGGCAGTGCTCAAACGAGGTGAATGTCAGTCGTTTGTTTTATCAGTATAAATCAGAGTTCGATTAACATGATCTAGCTTAATAAGGATGACACTAGCTCTTGCCTTATGATGAGATCGAGATATAGAGACAAAGGGATTAAAGAATATATGATTATAGTATAAGTGGGAGATTGTTGGGAATGTCCTAAAATCATTCGTACTTACTCTTGTTAAAGTCGTAGTGTCGAGATTATAGTGTTTTGTTAGAAACCGTTTATAATCTATGAATTAAGAAGTCATTACTAATATTGTATGATCCTATAGGGTCACACACCTAAGTAAACTGAATAATAAATATGTTGGAAGATATAATATAGATATATATATATATATATATATATATATATATATATATATATATATATATAATATGTTAATGTATATATATTTATTTGGACATGGATTATCTAAATGTGATTAAGATTATAAATATAGTGGACCAAGTTGAGATTATTAATATAATCATCCGGTCCATTAGTAAACCTAAATGAATTAGGTCATGTACCTTTTATTTATATAGTTTTTCTTAATGAAGCAAAGTAATACATTATTCTTGGCCGCACACACAACAACGCGTATGTTACACACGAGAACGTGTGGTGAGGTTTAGTAAAGAAGAAAATTGTTTCTTTTTAAACAAGTAACTAAAGAGATCCAATATAGCCGAAGGTGTTTGTCAAATTTCGAGATACGATCTCGACGGTACTAGCATCCCATTTTAATTCAGTTTGTGTGTGTTTGTGTGCGTGTAGATACCGATAGAGGCATGACGCTTGCAGTGCTACAAATCTCGACTTGGTTTGTTTATCTTTCCGCTGCGAATAACCAGGTATATCCGAATCCCTAAAAATTTAGATTTATTTCAGTATTAATATGAGATTCTAGGTAAATAGAATTCAAAAGTTGTTTTATAAATCGTCATAAACAAGTATGAATTCTTACAAATACCTCACTCAACTCTTTTGTAAATAAAAGAATTAAAAAAAAAAAAAAACACAATACCTCACTCACACTCAGGATTTTGGCGTTCTCATGTGACTTGGATTCAAGCAATCACATGACTGTCTTCTCCCTGTCCCTAGTTATGCACACATGATGCTACAAACTTTCCATTGAAAATCCCAGCGACTCTGCTCTCACCTGGTTCCCAAGACCATGCACTACAAAAACGATTAGTTTACATCAATTATGATGTCTAATTGTTTTGAGTCACTTAATTAAATGACTCCGAAAATAGTGATTCAAATGATATCAAAATATGTCCATTGTAAATAAATGATGTTAATATTTACCTCACTTTTCTTAAATAATGTTAGAATTTGTGGCAATTAATTTAATCCAATTTATTAATTATAATTACTAATCTAATTATATAAAGAAGGGTTTGTGTCCCTCATGTTCCTCCACGTCACATAATAGGTCCCGTGCGCGTTGACACGTGTCATATGGTATCTATTATTTTTTGGCCCAAACTTTGTTTAGCCCAAGACGTATTCAGGCATAGATCTGTCATTCATCTCTCCTTTTTACGAAATTAGGTTTTGTTGCCAAAGCCTCCATTGAATCATTTCTCTTTGGCCAGAGTTTTGTCGTTTATCTCTCTCCTTCCTACGAAAAACTGTAGACATATACTATTCTGACCATGGTTTTCTCATTCTCTGTCGTTTTGAAATTTTTTTTGTTGCAGAAATTGTTGACATATACTATTCCAACCACTGTTCTCTCATTTTTTTACTTCTTAACTTCTTATAAGTCGTTGTGTTATTTTAAATATTATTTATTCACCTTTGATTGGTTCTTATATTTTTTTCTATTAACAAGCAGGAAGGAACCATGGTCCTGGAGGTGATACGCCTGGGATGACTTCACTATCTACCTGCGTGTGCGTTGGTGGTAAAAAGAAGAAAGGAGAGATAACATGATTTTATTATATAAATGATAATTGTCGCATTTTTATGTACTCTTGCATTGTTTTCTTCAAAGAATCTTATAGATTCTGTTTCAATTTGAGCTAATGGTCTTCGAATTCATTCCTCTCAATCATAAGGTTTGTAAAAGTCCAGTGATCAAAATGGCTAACCTCAACAGTACTAACGGTGACGGCGTTAAGGTTGCTAGGCATGCAAACGGCTGTTTCGGAAGCTGTATGTATGGATGCGAAGCCAACTCCATCGCTCTCACCAAGTACTGCCATCTGCACATTCTCAAGAATAGAAAGCTTAAACTCTACAAGGTTTAGTTTTAAAGTTCTTTTTCTTTTTGGTTTTGAGTTATGCAAAAGGTTCTGGAAATCAGTTAATTACATATTAGTTTTTAAAGATATTGTGATGATTGTAAAAACTATGTTGCAGTTTTTGTCTTCTAATGAACCAACTCTTTTTACTATCCATACCTTTCATTTGCAGCTGCATTAAATGGTTTAGCTGGGCCACTTCACGGTTTGGCTAATTAGGTACCCATATCTTATCTATCTCCTGAGCATTGCTCAAATCTACAAGTATATATAGCTGATCTCCACCTAATGAATACTAGGAGCTGGTAAACTTCTGATATTATGATTATACAACTGAAAGTTTTGATAACAACTGAGAATTGATTTTCAACGGTTTCTCTTTTTTGGATATGGTTATGTTGAAGGAAGTTTTGCTTTGGATCAAATCAGTTGTGGAAGAATGTGGTGAAAATATATGTAAGGAACAGCTAAAAGAGTGTCTGCGAAACATTAAACAGTGGCAAAGTAAGATAAGTATAAACTGCTCTGCTTTACCTTTTGAAACTATAGCTAACATGAGACCTTAATGAAAAATTAGTTAATAATTGAGCCTGTGAATTCAGACCATATGAAGGCTTACATGAATGTTTGTCTTGCAGGTTCGCCCAGGATATGGCAATGGTGTTTTGCGTAAGACGGATCCAGAGTTAACCTTGAAGCATCTACCTGATGACTCTCTTATTCAGCTGGTAACTTCTCTTTTTATTCTCATCTTCCATCATACTCTTGAATTTGTAGTAACTGTCACTGGCTTTATGAAGTTGTATCTCCATTACCACTTCATTTGGTCCCACCTTTCTCACATTCTCTATGGGTTTATGAATCTTGGAACCGCTTCCATAGGTCAAAAACCCTTGGCCTAACGTTGTTGCTGAGTGTTGCTGAACTATTATGGTCTAACCAAAGCAAGGTCGGTTTTGCACCCATCTTATTTAAGTGTGTCTAGGCTTGGACGTTCTTCTAGCTGAATATAATGACATTTGTGTGTGTGTGTGTGTGTCAAATAGATAATACACGGTTCTTTTTGGCATCTCAGGGAGTCTTGAAATCGACTCACAGGTGTTTTACAAAATCACATTAATAAGTAAGCCAATAGGCTTCTCAGGCATTAAAAAGTGATCTTTGAGTCTTCGTTATGTAAGAATTTTTTAAGAAGATTGTTGACTTTCAATTTGTTTTTCCTTCAGTACTACAAGTTCCAAGCACCTTTCAATCAACAAAACAACAATGGATATTAACTAATCAACAGGAAAAGTTTAAAATAAAAAGATATTAAGATGTGTAATTGAATATGCATCTTTGTTTGTTCTTCACTAGAGAGAATAAACTTCTATTATATTCACATTTTCTTTATGGAATAGGAAGCATAAGAGAGAAGTGGAGAACAGTTGGTGAAACAATATAATGGGTTTGAGATCTCAAGAAGAGGAATGTGAGGTTTTGGATACATGACCAACACAGAAGAAAGAACAAGGACATCATTTGCTCTTGATGATTGAAACAACGTGATGTGTTACTAATGCAATTGTATTGTTGTATGGATTGTTTCTAGCTTCGAGACTTGGCATGAATATATCTAAATTTAGAGACAAGAGAATACTGTGGATTGACTTTTCTAGAAAAGTTCATCAGAGTCCTATAATTTTCACATTGAGCTGCTTTTTGTTTAGACTTTGTCCCAATTGGGAATTTGTCATCCAATCCCCTTTTCTGCTGTAACGTAAAAAAGACAGAATGGAACCAAAACAAGAAAGAAGGATATTTGTGTCACTTTTTGATATGTAACACTTTGTATTTTCAATTTTGATAGAAAAAAATGTAAAGATATTTGAGGGAACATATTAAAATTAAATAACTAAAATTGGTATGTTCTATTTAAATAGTCTCTAAAAACAATCTTATATTAAGGTTTGTCCATTATGTTATTCTCCAATAACAAAACATCAAATCTAAACTTATTTACATTACAGTTTTCAATACTGATCAAAATTAAAAACATATTAATTAACCGTCTTATTAACATATTATTCACAGCTATATGTTCCTAATGATGTTTCCAATTATGTTTATTTCATCTCATATTCGGATATAAATAAATATATATTAATATATTACTTTTAAGGGTTCAGATGTTTGTGAATTATATTTCTTATAGATAGCAAATTATATTATTATTTGCTTTTATTTCCAAGGAAACAGTTAAAATTACATTATTTCCATCGGAAAAAACACAACAAAAAAACAGAAAAAAAAAGAAAAGAAAACTCATAATAACAGTTACTTTGTTTTTACCACACAAATAATATTGGAATGCAATATTATTCGCTCATTAGTACACTAGATGTTTTGCCTGTATGTGCGGCATATTAATTTTACAAATATTTTAAAATGATACACTATCAGTTGAAATAAAATTAAAACAAATTAATGTTCATACATTAAAAATATTAATAAAAATTAAACAATAATTTTTTATATACAAGTTTTTTATCGTAACATAAATATTTTTTAATTACGTAACATAAACTAAAAATACTAATGCTTTTAAAATATTTTGTAATAAACTAAATATTAAGTTTTTTACATATGACCAAATTTTTCAATATAATAAAATTATCTTTTATTGCATAAACTAAATTTGAAAACCTTAAATATACATTAATATTATAAAAAATATATGTAGATATTTATCTTTTATAAATTTTAAAATTAAAAAAATCTAATGTAAAATATTTTTTTTAATAACAGAACATAACCTATTTTCATAATGATTACAAATCAATAAAATTTGTTTGGAATTTATGGTTAACTATATATTAACAGATAACATAATATAAATTATTCTAGATAATGACAATTATCAAATCAATGAAAATATTTTAATTAATGGCCAATTATATATTAATTTGTTTTTAATTTACCGCTAATCAATAAACTATTTTTAGATAATGATAATCATCTAATCAATGAACTTTACTTTTAATTAAGGTTAATTTTATATTAATTCGTTTTAACTTATAGTTAGTTATATATTAATAAAATTAATTATCAATTAAGAGTAATAATTAAACATTAATAAAAAATATAAAAATACGACAAACAAGCAAAACTATCTAAAATTATGGAGAACATGACAACTAAGCAAATTTACTTTTCAAATAATATAGATTTTTATATTAATTTTTTTTTAATTTATAGGTAGTTATATATTAATAAATCTAATTATTAATTAACAGTAATAATTAAACATTAGTAAAAAATATAAAAATACGACAAACAATCAAAACTATCTAAAATTATGGAGAACATGACAACTAATCAAATTTACTTCTCAAATAATAGTATAGATTCCTTCAACGCGTTCCATAATCTTAAATTTTGTGTATCTACCAAATACTTATCAAATTAAAACAAAAGTCGAACAATATATCAAACTCGCATACATGTCTCCCTCTAACAAATGTAAAATTATGAAATATAGAAACAAACAATGGTTATTAAACAATATTCCATAATATCATACATTCCTGTAAAAAAATACAACAATATAAATAAATTAAAAGAGGCAATGTTTCTATACGTATACTTTAGTTTTGAAATTTTTTATAATTCACATCCCGCCTGTAGGGCGGGCCGACCCTAGTAACTGATATAAAATTTTCATCAACTTTTAGAAATGATTCTGATAATTATATCATTTCCTATAACTGATTTGAAATGTTAGTATCATTTGTACATAATTTATTCCACCTTTATCTCAGTTTACATTAGTGATTTTAATGTATGTATCAGTTATAAAAATAAGAAATAGATTATTTTTATTTATATAACGACAATGAATATAAAATAATTAATATTACTTTGAACTCATGTTAAAATATCAGAAAACATTTTATTATATTTTAAAATTTTAAAATAAAAATTAAAAATAAAACTATTTACTATTATAAAATGATAATTCTTTAACTTGTGTCTTCATTTTAATGACATTTCAAAATTTTCTGTCTCCAGTCTAGGTTTACTTGAGCATGACGCTAGTTTTTGGTGTTCTCCTCCTCAACGCTCTAGACCAAAAAATTGAGCAAATTCATCATCCACGCTAGTTGTAACATTGTATGTGTTGTACATGTTTTGACTCTACAAAGTTGTAAGTGCTTCCTAGAAAAATCATAGAAAGGTGTCAACTAATTAACACATATTTGGATATATATTCTTTTATTCCTTATTGGGATGAAATGTACAAAGTTTCTTTTTGTATCCTCATGTAAATTGGTTTGACTTATGCCGTACAGCTTCTCTGACATTTCTAGCTTATATTTGCTTAAAGCACAATTTCTCGAAGAGTTTTAGTCGTTTATTTTACCATGACCGAGTTTGACCCTAACACAAACAACCAAGAAGATCAAGTTCCCACGGGACAAGATGAAGGAGGCACACAATCGCCAAAAGAGTTATGCGGATAGATGCATGAAGGATCTTGAGTTTGCGGTCAATGGCCTAGTATATCTCAAGATGATCACATTCAAAAGTCGAATGAGAGTTTCTAGGGTCCTTTTAGGATTATCGAGAGAGTGGGTACGGTGGCATACAACTTAAACTTTCCAACTGATATGGAAGCAATTCACAATGTGTTCCATGTCTGAAAACTCAGAAAATGGCTAACAGACCAAAACATCAATATACAAGAGATTCCTCCTTATATGGGTAAGAACCTAACCTTAGAGACAAGGCCAGTGTGGATCGTGGATAGGATAGAAAAAGCAACCAGAAATAAAACAGCTCAGATGGTCAAGGTCATTTGGGATTATAATGGGCAACAAGAAATAACTCGGAAATGGAAGCAAAGATGAGGGCTGACTTTCCTAAGTGGTTTGAGCGGCTCACAATGGAGGAGAAACTTGGTTTGGATTGGAAGACGAATCCATCGCAAGTGGGGGAGACTTCTCATGTCCCCGAAACTAGATAGGAAATGAGCAAGTCGGTCATATGAGCTAAAGGAAAATGTTCCATGGCCTACAAAGAAGGTTAAGTCCATCAAACGGGTGAGACTTTGCTAAATGAGGGAGGTGTCGTGTACAAGGGAGCTGGACGAGGTGTAATACTGCTGGAAAATGCAAACAAGAAGCTTAGCCAGCTAGGTGAAGTTTAGTCAAGCTTTGGGTTAGCTTGATCATCTGGATTACTAGCTCACTCACCTGGGTCAGCTGGGAGCCAGCTCATCTCAGGTGGACAGAGTGTTGGATGGTTGGACGGTTGGGCCAGGTCTGAGCGGTTACCAGGCCGGTTGGTTGGCCAAGGATGGCAATGGGCCGGTGGGGTCTTTGATCAGACCATATACTTGGGGAGTTAGTTTGGGCTCAGGTTTGACTTGTCTAAGGGAGGTTTGAGACAGTTAAAATCCGAATGGTTGTGAGTTACACAAGGCAACCATTAAAAGGCCAAGTTGCACCTTTTTGAAATGGGCAGTTGGCCAAACCCTCTCTCTATATATTCTCGGCCTTGGGGTCGATTTTGGTACATATTTCCATAGGGAAAAGTTTATGCATTATCATTCCAGTCCACACGTCAAAGGTGATGTGTGTGACCTGCAATCCATCGCATAAGACCATCAGCTTTTCCGGTTGTGTCTTTGGGCTGATTACTGTTGGTTACATCCATCTCTCTCTTCTTACTTAATCACATTTATTTCTCCTTATGTTGCGATAGAGTTTGTCAAGTCAGAGGCAGTTATATGCCAAGGCTTAGTCTGGTCCTGATATAGAGTCCTTGGCGTATCAGTCAGACTCAAGAGACTGGCCGACCATAGATCCTAATGGTGGGGTAGGATCCAGTCTAGTGTGATCTGGTTATGGTGGTTGTGGAGTGCGGTTGTACTTAGATAAAAT